GCTGTTTTATACTCACACACATCTGAATACATACATACATGCCTATATATACCAGCACATGTACATATGTGTGCACACACACGCCTGAATACACACACTGCCATGTCATGTCATGGCATTTCAGCCACCAAGTGCGTATATGATGAGAACTTGCTGTCGCCTAGTGATGGTGACGCTGTTGAGTCCGGCATGGGAGACACTGGTGTAAACGCAACGCGTGACCACAGGCGCCCGTGTTTCTGCTGCTGGGTTTGCCCTACTCGACTTTTCATCCTTATTTAGGGTGTGCTCCTCCGACCCTAAAAACGAGTTTACTGTAAAAATGGCAGCAGCAAGCAGCCTCGGACAGCCTGTGTTCACTGTGTGTGCTGACTGTCGAGAGCCCACGGCAGTGACCGAGCTATAGCTTCGAGCTGTGGGTGTCCGCACCCTCCAGGGGTATGGGTTTGATCCAGCAGCACCCGTCTGGGACCCGGGCACTGAGCACCGCCTGTGTCCATCACAGTAGCTGTCTCTGAGGCTGTTGTGAGGGTGCGCCCCGTAGCTGGACTCGGCATGGGGAAGAGCGTCAGCAGCTCTGGGAGCTGGGAGCTGGGCGCGCTCAGTGGAGGCTGGGGACTTCAGCGGGCACAGGAGAGGAAGGGGGCGCGTTCTGTTTCTCGCCAACTCGACACCGGTCTGTGCCTTCCACGTTGGATACCGTGTGGTCTTCAGAAAGTTCATGAAAATGCATGTGCATGGAGTTTTGCACCAAAATAAACTCCTTTTAATTCCGTTTATCACAAACTTTCTGCAGTATCCCCGTCATCTGAATGTCCGGTTCAAGGGCATTAAACCACCTTCGACTCTGGGTGCTTCCATGTCGATTCTTCCAAGTTCTGCTTGAGAACAATTGCCGAGGCTTTTCAAGGTGACCTTAATGATGATACCGGCCTTACCAAGCAGTGTGTACGATGACGTATCAGCGGGGAGAGACGTGAACATCCCATGCTGAGCGAGTGGTTTGTTGACAAAGCACAAAGAGGCTGGCTCCAATTAACCCTGGGCACGACAGAGCAGAAGTGCATATTGGAACTTCATGTTGTAACTTTGACAAACAATGCCTCCTAGACCGGATTCATTGACGAGGAGCAGATGGGGGTCTGGGAAGGGGGGGTGGGGCAGGGCCAGGCAGCGTCCAGGGAGATGGGGGCCACCATGGTGGCCAGCAGCGGTGTCCCCTGGAAGCTAGTAGGCTGCTCAGACCCTGGTTTGAGAAGTGGGATGCAGAGCAGCGGCCGCCACCTGTGTAGACGCCACTCCAAGCCACAGCCGGGGGACGGCGGCCGAGCTGGGAGGAGCAGCTACTGTGATGGTTTCGTTCCTTCCATGGTCTCGTTATGTGAGGCCGGTCACAGTCTGAAAATATGAAGTGGAAAGTTCCAGAGAGAAATAATGTAAAAACGCCAACAGACTTTTATTACGGCGTAGTGTTACAATGGTTCCATTTTATTATTGCACCTGATTTAAGCTAAACTCTACCATGGGTGTGTATGCATAGAAGTAAGCCCAGGACACCCAGGGCTGGGACTGTGGGAAGGTCCCAGGACCCACTGTGGGTGTTGGAACACACACACAGAGGTAGGGGTGGGCTGCCTTAGGAGTCCAGCCCCTGCCATTCTGACCTCGAAGTGTGTGTGTGTGTGTGTGTGTATATACATACCAGAAGTATAGCAATCATCTCAGACTATTTTGTGCCCCTGTATGTCGTGTGGTATCGAATGTTGTCACTCGCTCTTCTGCAGGCACAGTGAGGAGACTACTGGCTTGTACCTTGTGACTTTGAACTGAACCTGGCCTCAGTCTCCTCATCCGTGGTATGGGGCCGTCTCTGTGGCTCTTTCCCATAAATACCAACCTGTGAGTCAGGGCCAGAGGGCGGACAGGTATCCCTCGTTTCCCAGGCCAGCGGCCACATCCCCCAGGTGACCCTGGCCAAGCCCGGCGACTCCTCTTTCCTCTTGAAAGCACTCAGATCTGAGGGAGCTGCTTCCCAGATTGGGGGAGGGCGTCTCTGGATTTGATGGTCGGTGAGAAGCCCGGGGGACTGGGAGCACTGGGGAGGAGAGACCGGAAGGGGCTGCACAGGTGAGTGGGTGGGTGTGGCCGTGTTCCAGTAGAACTTACAAAACCAGAGGTGAGAATTTACTCAAGAGATGAAGGGAGAGTCTTGTACGAATATTGTGGGCTGCGATCATGGCAGTGTTACGCGGCGTCCAGCAGGTGGAAGTTACCCATGTGCCCCTTGGTGGGGTGTGGCTAAGTCAGTGTACGTGCATGGGGTGGGGCAGCATTCAGCCTTAAACCAGGAGGGAAGTTTGCACACGTGGAGGAGGCATGGGGAAACTGGGCTGATTGGAATCAGTGAAAACAGTAAAATATGTGGGATAATCACAGAAGGACAACCACCGTGTGATTCCAGGAGAGTAATGCGATGATTGCAGCTTCTTCAGCAGCGGGCTCTGCAAGGCAGGAGGGCAGCTCCTCCCCTCCCCAGACCCTCAGCTCTGCCCTGGGCCGGACGTACATCCCGACAGATGTGGAGCTGGCCAGTCCTGTCCCCAGATGCGGTTTGCCTGGTTCACTCTCTGGGGACGAGACCATCTGTTCCTTTCCTGGATTGTTTAAGGGGAAGAACGGCTCCCTTCAGCTCAGACCCCGTGAGCCATTTCTGAGAATGGTCCTGGCTGTCCCGATCCAGGGGCTGGACAGCGTTGGGATCGGCTTCCAGGGGAAGGGTGGCCGCCTCTGGCCTGGCTCAGCCACCCAAAGGCCCGATGCCTCCTTGGGTGGCTTCCAGGGGCCGCCCTGACACGGGCCTTCCCAGTGTCAGCTGCTCTGCAATTAATTCGATTCCTTTGCCAGGAAATTTCATTCAGCTCCTGGGTTCTCCGTGTCTCGGACTAGGAATTGACTTGAACGCCCAGAATGACCGAAGCTTATGTAATGTCTCCCAGGGACGGGGGTGGCAGCTTGTAGGCAGACACGTGATGAGACACAGCTCTGTGCCATGACCAGAGCCTTTGGGCGTAGGTGGCAATTAACTTTGCTGAAGAAATGAGCAAGGTGACTTATCTGTAGGGGAGAAATCAAAATGCCCCATGCAAAAGAGGACCGATCTTAGGAGGTTCGTGATGGCAGAAAATGAACTGAGACTGAGTTGCAGAAACCCAGCTGTCAGGGGCTTCACCTCCCCGGTGCCCTGCTGGCTCGCACACGTGTCTGTCTCATCTGAAGCTTGGAGCAACCCTGCAAGGTGGTCGTTGTTGGTCTCAGGAGCGAACTATAGAAATGATCCTTGGAAGCATGGTCTTCGGTGTCGGGAGAAAACTGAGACCCAGAGAGGGCGAAACCGGCTCACCCAGCAGGGAAGGGTTGAATTAGGTGAAGACCCAGATTTGGCCAAAACCCAGATCATCTTGGGAGGGGAATGGGAGAGCTTAGAGAGGGGCCGAGAGACAGTCCCAGCTCCCAATGCCTGCTCTGTTTGTTGAGCTCCTGGCGGGTTAGAGGCATTATACAGATGATAGCTATTTGGAGTCTCCTGGCTGTCCCAGTATTGGATGCTCTGTGGTTGTATTAGAAACACACTAGGGCCAGCCTAAGTGAAAAAAGAGGTTCTTTATTTCACGGACACAGGGGTGTCTTCTAACCCCAAACCAGGAGGCAGGCAGGTTGCCAGCGTTGCTGGGAAGGAGAGCTACAGGGTACCCACGCGGCCGTGCCCCTGCTGTATCTTCTCTAGCAGCATCCAGGTCTCTGTTGGACCAGTCAGGTCTACTGGGTCAACCCTGGCAGACAGAATGGCTGTGAGTGAGGGGGGCAGGCGAGGGCTTGTTGGGAGCGTGCCCTTAAATAGCTCCAGGAGGGTCTCCCCTCTGTCACAGCTAAGGCATCAAGATCCACAGGGATTGAATATCCTGGCTCATGGTCACACGACTAATGGTAGTAAATGAGGGCGTGGACGGTTTGAGTGAAGTGCATCTCACATGTGTGCAGTTTGCACACGTGCCTGCTGTCCAGGACAAGTCATCTCTGCTTGTCTGTGGGGCTATTTCTGATGTTTCTGGGAGGGTAGCGGGCCCTCCGGGTGCCGTTTGCTCCTCTACATGCATGCCCGTGATAAGGTTGTGGGCACAGTCAGATGAACAAGAACTAAACCCACTGAGCCCATCTTTGCTTAAAACGTTCAAGGATGGTGACTGCCAACCAGTGCGAGTTAGCATGAGAAGCAGCCCCCTGGGAGCCGTGTCTCAGACACGTGGGCGAGTCAGCGCCACAGCAGAGCCGACGAGGTCCTTGAAGGCTGGCACCTGGGCCCCCTGGCTTCTCAGGGTTCCCTGCAGTCTCCCCTCCAGTCCCCCCAAACTGGCCCTGGCGGGAAAGCGGGACGCCCCTCCCCCTTGCCCCAGGCGCTTGGGCCATTCTCTCCTGACCGTCCCACAATCCCGAGCAGATGGGTCTGTGTGTTTTCTTTGGCTCCCGTGTTGCACTTGAGACCGAGTGTTCATTCTTAGATATTTCAGTTTACCCATGGGGTGGAGAGGACGGGGTTTGTTTATAAGGGAATATTTTGGTGTGGACCTGACTTGACACTAACTTAGCTACTTTGGGGATGCTTGTCCCTAAATGAACACTAATTCGCGTCTGAAGCATCCTGGCCAGTGTGGTCCAGGCTCTGAGTGTTACGCACTCAGCCCAGGGTTTGGTGAAGAATGTTCTTCGTGCGAAATGTTGCTTCGTGCTGTTTATCTACAAGGGGGCGGGGCTCTGGATCGGCTTCCCCATTCATAAACCCTGAACCAGGCAGGGCTCTGAGTGGGAAGCATGGCGGGGGTGGGGCGGGGAGGTTGTATTTCCTCTCCGGACAAGTTAAACCTCAAAGGCACGGGCCCGTTCTGTGGGGTGCAGGAGGCTGTCCGTCAGCCCGCTGTCGCTGATGGATTTTTCTTCTTTTCCAGATTGGCAACCTGGAGGACTACTACCATTTCTACCACAGCAAAACCTTTAAGAGATCGACCCTGAGTAGCAGAGGCCCTCACACCTTCCTCAGAATGGACCCCCAGGTACCCGCGGGGCCGCAGCGGGTGGGTTGGTGGTCCAACCGATGGCTGAGGGTGGACGTTAATGCGGTACGAGATGGACGTTTGTTTTCACTGCCCACTCTGAATAAGACAAGGCAGGTGTGCAGCTATGCACCAAACCATCCAAATCCTTCATCCTCCAAATATTAGATCCCTTGTCACATTGAGAGTTTGAATTCCTCACTCTAGTTGGGAGTAGCAATCATGCTAGGGTAGCACTAGCAATATTTAAAAAACCAACAAAATACACTGTAATTATGAGAGGTGTATATGTGAATCTTATCCATAAAGTAAAAACACTAGGCAATTCTAGCAAATATTTCAGTAATGAAATTCAAAATCAGACAGATGTTTTTGTGGTTGTTTTAACACATATCTTAAAAGTTGCTGCACATTTTAAACCAGGGAAGTAAATGTAACTATTTTGCATTAAAATGCATGTGCTCTTTGAGATGTAAAACAGAAATTTGAAAAGAGGCTAACCTTTTTAAAAAAAATATTTATTTGAGGACAGAAGAGAGACAATAGAGTGCCCACCCTCTGAGTGTTTCCAAGTGCCTGCAGTGGCAGGGGCTGGCCACATCGAAGCAGGATCTGGGAGCTCAATCCAAGGCTCCTCCATGGGTGGCGGGCACCCGACAGCTGGGCCATCGCAGCGGCCTACAGGGCCTGCATTAGCGGGAAGTTGGAGTCGGGAACCAGAGCCAGGTGTCTAACGCAGGTACTCTGATTTGGGACAGAGGCATCTTAACCACTAGGCTGAACCTCCACCCCTACTCTCGCAAAGAAGCTAATCTTTTGTTTGTTTGTTTCAAAAATTTATTTTAGGTGCTGGCACTCTGGCGTAGCGGGTAAAGCTACCGCCTATAATGCCAGCTTCCCATATGGGTGCTGGTTCTAGTCCTGGCTGCTCCATTTCCCATTCAGCTCCCTGAGATACTCCTGGGAACACAGCGGAAGATGGCCCAAGTCCTTGGATCCCTGCATGCATGTGGGAGACCCAGAAGAAGCTCCTGGCTCCTGGCTTCAGATCGGCCCAGCTCCAGCAGTTACAGCCATTAGGGGAGTGAACAGAAGATGAAGACCTCTCCCTGTGGGGTGCAAGGGGCAAGCACTTGGACATCTCTGCTTGCTTGCCCAGGCACATTAGCAAGGAGCTGGATTGGAAGTGGAGCAGCCGGGACTTGAATCAGCTTACCTGCTACATCATAATGCTGCCTCCCCACCCCCAGATGCTAACCTTGAAGGTTTAATGTAATTCACATCTGTTAAGTGGTTAATTATACATCTTACATAAGTTTGAAATTAGTGTTTGACACCTATCAGTCAACAGATGGTTGGTTAATATTAAAAATTTAAATATTAAAAAATTAAGGTGCTCCAGTGAGCCTTCAGTAAGTTCCTCTATTCAATGGGTATTTGTGGAATATCTGCCTTGTGGCTGGCTCTGTCCACAGCAAGGCTAGTGGAGCTGACAGGGGGGGGTGACGATTAAGCAGACCAGAGAAAAGCATGTGACAGTCACAGAGGGGATGACTGCCCCGAGAGAAAGCAAAGGTCACGTCCGGAGCAGTAGCAGCCCTCGCGCATCAGGCGGCCTTTGGTAGATCGTGGTTTTAGAGCACAGCGTGGAAGTTATCTTTTCTTTTAAAAAACACTTTTTAATTTAGTTAGTTGAAAGGCAGAGTGACAGAGGTAGAGGGGAGAGGGAGAGGGAGATTTCCTTCTTTTGGTTCACTCCCCAAACGCCCAGAGCTGAAGCCAGGAGCCAGGATCTCCCTCTGGGTCTCCCACTGGGGTGGCGGGGGACTCAGGTACTTGGGCCCTCATCTGCCGCTTTCCAGGTGCATTAGCAGAGAGCTGGATTGGAAGTGGAGCAGCCGGCGCTCTGGTATGAGATTCCGGCATCCCAAGCAGTAGCCTAGCCTATAGCCTCACTGTGCCTCCCCAGAAGTTATCTTCTCTCGATAGCAACGTGCTCAGTGCTAGATTGGGCTCCCTGGCTGGCACATGACACCATTTCAGCTATTCCCAGAGAGCATTTGTAGTAAGGTTTCCATGGAAAAGGGGTTCTTGGTGTCCCTTGTATACTCCACTGACAGTCATGGCTCCCTCTGCATTGGTCAAGCCGGGGGATGGGAGAAAAGTTTATCCCAGGGCACTCTGCTTGCCTTGCCGCCCTCCGGGTCATTGTTCCATGGGTCCCAGGGGAGCTTGTTCATGGCAGTGGGCTGTGAAAAGGCGGACATGGCTGGAATGTGTTTCTAAATTCATTTTAAAGGTGGACAGATGGGTGGGCGAATGAGGAATGGATGAATGAAAGAGCGAATTGGTGGGTGGATGGATGGATGAGGGATGGATGGATGAAGGATGGATGGATGAGGGATGGATGGATGAGTGATGGAGGGATGGATGGGTGGATGAGTGATGGATGGATGAGTGATGGATGGGTGGATGAGTGATGGATGGATGAGTGATGGATGGATGGATGAGGGATGGATGGATGGATGGATGGATGGGTGGATGAGTGATGGATGGATGAGTGATGGATGGATGGGTGGATGAGTGATGGATGGATGAGGTATGGATGGATGGATGAGTGATGGATGGATGAGGTATGGATGGATGGATGAGGTATGGGTGGGTAGTTGAATGGATGGCTAGGTGGTGAGTGGATGGGTGGATGGATGGGTGGGTAGTTGAATGGATGGATGGGTGGTGAGTGGATGGGTGGATGGATGGGTGGGTAGTTGAATGGATGGATGATTGGTAGATGGAAACATGGATGGATGGGATGGGTGGGTGAGGAATGGATAGATGGACATACAGATGCAAAGAGATAGATATCCAATTATGCTAATTGCATTTTTCCTTAATACCAAGGAAGAGGAATTTAATGTTTATTTAGGGATTACCATGTGCTTATTAGGCATTTTAATGTATCACTCATCTAATCATAAAGAGTTATGATTATATGTACTTGAGCCTGCACCATGGGACTTGAAGAAATGTTTTTCCTATGGGCTGGTACGTTTTCTTCCTCTGGAGAGCAAAGACAAATTGTAGTTGCTCTTTGCCACAGAGTGGGGCAAGTGGAGAGGGACAAGCAGACCTGGCACGTGGCTGAGCGCCACGTGTGATCCACGTGTGATCCGGGCAAGGAGTGCGGCGTGATCATGGAGGGGCCTGGGTTCTGTGAGGTCCAAAGTGGCCATGCTCTGTCGTCCTGGGGAAAATGCTGAGCTGGGAGAGAAGTCGCTGCAGCACTGTCTTCACACACGTAGGTGATCTGCCGGGTGTAGGCAGCCCGCCCCTCCCGCGTCTGGAGTCCTCAGCCTGGTCTAGAGTAGATACAGTGGCTTCATCTGCTGTAGCGACATCCTCTGTTCTTGGTGACTGAACCACAAAACTTTCCAAGGGACTCAACTCTACTGCTCTTCCTTGCCTTCTCAAAATACCAGCTGTGCACCTGCGGGGTCCAAGGCCTTGCGGGGGATGGGGAGCAGCCCAGCAGGCCTGTGCACGGGGGAGCACCCAGAGAAGCAGGACCAGAGACCCGTGCGTGCGTGAGGAACGTATGCCCAGGCAGCAGAGGCAGATTCCAGGCAAAGCTTGAGTGCCACCGTGCCCCAGACCTGCCCACCCCTGCAGCTGCGGACCGGCTTGGTTTTGGGTGTGTGAGCTTGGGTCTGTGGGCAGGGCGTTCCCAGAAAGGCAACGGAGGGAAGGGTAGGTTTCCTAGGCAGAGGCTGGGGCAGTTAAATGTCTTTGAATAAAATCCCCTTTTGTGCGGTTTCCTAATAAGCTCCTGGCAGGACTGCTATCAAAGCGCTCTGCCAGTCAGGAAAAATGGGGGGAGGTAAACAGCCCAGCTAGCCCAGCCCCGCCTGGGCCCCCACGGATTGGCTGATTGTTTCTCCAAGTTCTCATTAAAGCATTAAAGCTGTAGCCCCATGAAATGCAAATAGACATCAGAACCAATTAAGAACTCAGAATTGCAACTGAAATACCTCGGTGAAAATTAGTCTAGTTTTAAGGCAAACCAAATCAATTAGCCATCAGTCTGACTAATGTTTACTGCGCCTGGTCACTCTGATTCAACGTTTGTCCAAACGAACGGTTTGCGATCGGTGTTGGAGGTTATCTCGCATTGCAGTGCATCGGAACGGTCTCCTCTCCTTAGCAGAGCGCTTGTGCGGCACCTTGACGTCTGCAGAGAGCCCTGTCATTAGTATTATTAACAAAAGGCGAAGATGGGTTAACGTGATTCAGGGACATTGGAATGCAAAGTTACCATTGCCTTTGAATGACCAAACTGGAAATGAATGTTATAGGGCTTAGGATAAAGTTCGATTGAATACAGATGGCTCTTTGTTTTAATTAGCTCCAGTCACTATTGTATAAGAGTGCTCCAATAACTGATAGAATTTACGATCCTCCCCATAGTCAACTAAAAACTGAGTGTGCGTTTGTTAAAACAAAACGAAACACACAGGGGCGGGCTGGGGGAGAGGAGGCAAGGCAGGATTTTCTTATTTAATCACACACACACACACTACACTCCTCCACGTGTGCACACACATGCACACGACACTCCTCTGCGTGTGCACACACGCACACTACACTCTTCCACGTGTGCGCACACACACTCACGCCTACACATTTAGGCACTGATCATGTCCCAGAATTCTGCCATAGTTCTCCTTGCACTCCCAATTACCTTGAAATGTTGTGCCTTTTTTTTTTTTTTTTTTTTTAACCATCTTTGAAAAGGGCCATTCTGCTGATTGTGTGGTTGCTCGGCCCATCCTGGCGAGAACGGCTCAAGTGTTCTCCGAGGTCTGTATCAGTCCCTGGGTTTTCCAAGGGCTGTCATTTCACCAAACTGAAAGCATTTGTTTTTAACTTGCTGTTTTGCCAAAAGTCTGGAGAAGGGTGGGTGCTACCAACGCATCAGCCAATAGCTGAAAGGGCTCACAAAT